AGAGAGAGAGAGAGAGAGAGAGAGAGAGAGAGAGAGAGAGAGAGAGAGAGAGAGAGAGAGAGAGAGAGAGAGAGAGAGAGAGAGAGAGTAAACGATAATCCTCACAGAAATTGTGGAGAGAGATGGATCGTCCGGGCATCACAACATGTTAAAATAAGATGATGATACTGCAAGTCCAATAGCAGAGAGCAAGATGAGAATCAACACAAGGAGGAGATTTTTAAGTGCTGCTTTTCCCCTTTACAGATCAAGAAAATTCAATCTGTGTTGCCAAGCTTCCGTGGGCACCATGCCCAAATCCGACGGTAACAGCTTATACACACCCTTTCACACAAAGGTCAGGTGAAAACATCGCCACCTCCTCATAAATGTCAGTTCCGCTTCCTCTTCCGCTTCCTCTTCCGCTTCCTCTTCCGCTTCCTCTTCCGCTTCCTCCTCCTCCTCCTCCTCCTCCTCCTCCTCATTACCAAACAAACCTACGCGGCACAACACCCGAAACCGCTGTTCATGTCCTTGAGGTTGAAGTCCATCTGTTCTATGATTTACTTCACCTAAAGTATCTGTGTCCACATTTAGGTTGTATGGTATTGTGGGGAGAGTACTTATGTATAACATACATATTGTAGTAGGTGAAAGTACAGAAAGAAAAAGAAAAGAAAGAAAAGAAAGAAAGAAAGTAAGTACATTCTCGCGAATATACGATGCTTATTCAGAATAATACATTCTGCACATTGAATATTTGAATCGCCTCTTTGAAAGTCAATGCTTTGAAAACCAGAAAGTTATGTATAAGTAGATATTATATATCGTCAAATAGAACTGCCTACGGTAAACCGTAGGCAGAGAGGGAGAAAAGGACAACAAACGAGGGGCTGTGACAAACTGTTTCGTCGGAGTTTCACCGACTCATCAGGAGGCTGAACCATATATTGTCACATCACTACAGGAGGCTGAACCATATATATATCGTCACAAATAGAACTGCCCGGTAAACCGTAGGCAGAGAGAGAGAAGAGGACAACAAACGAGGGGCTTAGGCAGAGAGAGAGAAGAGGACAACAAACGGGGGACTGTGACAAACTGTTTCGTCGGAGTTTCACCGACTCATCAGGAGGCTGAACCCTAACAGTCTGCAGAATCCCCTCAGTGATTACACTGTAGTGATAATCTACCTTAACCAAATGTATGTATGTATGTATGTATGGACTCTGAAAGTCTTAAACTACTCACTGGCTAAACAAGTGCATTAACCACCAGCCTCTCTCACACTCGTATAGAAACAACAATACCCACTTTAAGGCGGTTAACGAATGCTCCAAACCACCAAAAATAGCAAACCCATAAGCTGAGAAAGAATAAGGTGAAACTGGTGCAACTTCCAAAGAGACGGCCAGCGTCACCATCACCATCACATATCACCTCCCACTCCACCTACAACTCCACCACCTACACCTCCACCTCCACCTCCACCTCCACCTCCACAAACACCACACAGCGGGTAATGATTCAGAAGCCTCAACGATCAGAAGAGAGTGAGCACGAGAGGCCCAATCCAAAGATGAGAGACAGAAACATCTAACAAGGCTGGCATGCCTAAACAGGCATAGTGTAGGTACGTCCAACCGAGATTCCAGATGACACTTGTATGGCACAGCAGGAGCAGCGGCACAGACGTCGATACAAGCTCCACCTGTTGAAGAAATGACAGCGTCCGCGACATGTATGAACGACCGTTTATGTCCTAACAACTCCTCCCAAGAACTCCAAACAGAACAGCCAGAGAGAAAGTACCCAGCTGGTGGGATGAATGATACACTACTACTACACTCAGTCCTAACTTCCTCCCAAGTGAGAGAGAGAGAGAGAGAGAGAGAGAGAGAGAGAGAGAGAGAGAGAGAGAGAGAGAGA